TCTCGGTGCCACTCCCGGTGCCATTCCCGGTGCCATTCCCGGCGTGCGGCTCCCGCTGCCTCAGCCCGGGGAGGGTGAGCAGCTGCGGCCCCTGTCCCTGCTGTCCCCTCTGTCCCTGCTGTCCCTGCTGTCCCCGCTGTCCCCGCTGTCCCCGCTCCCCCCGCTCCTGCCTGACCTCGTTTCCAGCTCCGAGGGCTCCTGGTTATGCAACCGCCGCCGAATTCCGGCACAAGCACAAATGGCAGCGCCGGCACCGCGGTGACCCCGAGCTCGCTCCCGCCTGCCGAGGAGGCTGCGGGAGGGGGCTCGGTGGGGCCGTGCCCCGGTGCCACCTCCCCGGGTGCCACCGGCGCTTGTGCCACCCCTGGGGCGGTGCTGGTGGCACTGGCGGTGTCCCTGGGGACACAGCGTGTGTGACACGGAGCTGTGTGTGCGGGTGGGACCCCCGAGGGTCCCTGGGGCTCCCGGCACAGCCGTGGCTCCTGCCCGGTGTCGTGCGTGCCACTGCGGGCCCGCCCGGGGCAGGAGGAGGAGGAGGGCTGGGATGAAGGGCAGGGGGGTCAGCGATAGCGAGATCGATCCGGGATGGAAGGGGGGGCCCGGGGAGCAGCCCCAGGATCTCCGAGCCCTCGGCCATGAGTGGGGGGACACCGGGTGTCCCCAGCTGTGTCCCCAGGCCGGGCTGCCCCGGGGGTTGGAGCCCCATGGACACGGGGCCAGTGGGGCTTGTCCCCAGAGCAGCGGGGATCCTGGGGTACAGGGGGGTGCACAGAGATCCTGGGGTGTCCGCGAGGTGGTTGGGGTCCCTGTGATCTCCTTGAGCTTCTCGTCCTCTCCATGGGGCACTTTGGGGTCTTTAGGGTGTCTGTGGGGTGCGCTGAGATCCTGGGGTCTCCAGGGGTCTCCGTGGGGCTGAGCCCACCTGCTGCCCCCCACTCCGAGCGGGAGCTGCCCCTCCCCGGCAGCTGGGAATAATCGGGATTAATTACGGCTCTAATGAGGTGTGGAAGGGTTACGGCCCGTGGGATGAGCAGCGGGGCAGGGATGGGGACAGGGACGTGTCGGACCTGGCCGAGCCTGCACAGCACCCACGTCCCGTGGGAGGGGACACGGCGGGTGAGGGACACGGGCTGGGGCTGCGGCCACCCCAAAGGGAGCCTGGCAGGGGCCGCGGGTAGCACGGGCCGGTGGGGACAGAGGGGACAGGGCAGGGTGATGGTGTCCCCGGTGTCCCTGTCCCCTCATGCCTCTCCTCATTCGGGAAGGGTCTGGATCTCTCCCCCAATCCGAAAGGCAAATGGAGGCCGGGCAGGGATCAGTGCGGTGCCGGGCTGGGGCTGGGGAGTGCAGAGGACGCGGCTGAGGCCGGAGCCCCGCGGGTTCCGAGGTTTCTGCCGGGATGGTGGCAGCGGGGATGGGAGGCTCGGGGTGTCCGGCACCGCTGGAGCCGGTGCCGGTGCCGGCTCTGACCCGGTTCGGGCAGCTCTCCGGGCAGCAGCGGTGCCACCGAGCCCGGGGAGTCTCGGGCAGGCTCTGCCCTGGCTGTCACCACCTTGACGGCCCCGAGGCCGCTCTGCCCCGCCAGATGTGCGCCGTGCGGTGCAGCTGTGCCGGCCCGAACACTGGCGGCTCTGTGCGCTCCCGGTGACCGCGGCCATGACCAATGCGGGATCTCCGGCTCTGCCGCGGCCCCAGGGCGCTGCGCCCGCAGCTGCTCCCGCCTCCGAGCAGGCGCTGCCCAGGAAAACCCTTTTTTTTTCATGAAATCCCTGCCTTTTCCACATGGCGAAGGGACAAGACACCCCGCAGGGAGGAGATGGATTTATTAAATATTTGGCGGATGACAGAACATGTCTCCCTGCTCACAGGCTGCTGCTGGAAGCGTTCCCCGAGCTTACGGCATCGGCTGCAGCAGCGCCTTCGCCAGCCGCTCCCGGGGACGGTCCCGCTCTGCTCGGGGGACAATCCCGTTCCTGTCCCTGTCCCA